GCGTAAGATAAAATATAAACTCAATAAATAGAGAGAGAATTTCAAATGGATTAAGATTAAAAGAGATCAAAAGGGTGAAGAAATGGTGAAGAAAAGTGAAGAAATGGAGAAGAAAGGTGAAATAATGGAGAATATGGTGTAATTTAAAGAAAAAGGGATAAAATATAAGTTTTTTAAAAAAATGGGCTAATTAGCCGTTATTCATGCTGTCAGGTGGGCCCCAAATCTGCTAATTTTCAAGTTTCACGCGCTTTTGAGGATGTGATTGCAAACAAAGTGCCACATAAGCGACGGGGGGTTTTTTATATGAAGGGTGATATAGTTCAGGGGATTTCCGGGGACACTCGATAGTTTACGAGGTAAACTGACAAAAATAGTATAGTTTAGGTGGGTTTGAGGGTAATAACTCTATATAAAATACCATTGCATTCATTATTACTTTGTGACAAAAACACGAATTAAGTATAAACATATATACAGTTAAGATTACTCATAGGTCCTGTTTGGCACAAATGCATATACATTTGAAGCTAACTTTATTATTCGTTAATTTTTAATCTTGTTTCGTTCCAAATGCCAATAAATTTATAATTAGTACTGGTAAAAATTGCACGGGGTGTCCTATTTGGTTGCCCCCATTTAACCTATACCCATTTTTTAAAAATTTTTTAACTTTGTACCCACTTCTTAAATAACCTCAGCCTTCTTCTCCTCCTTCGTTTTCTTCTTCTCAACAAAAGACAAAATGCAGAGCCTATTTTTTTTTATTGGTCTTGCGTCGAAAATCTTTCTTCACCCTGGGAATAGCAGTTAATAACTTCAGCTTTTATTCTTAAGATGGAAATATATTTTAATCCAAATTCTTGTTATTGCAGCAAACACCTTCCCGTTGCTTCAATTCCTATTAATGTTGTTAATCATTAAAACATGTATTAGTATTAGTAAATTTTAGTTTTAATTGGTTTATGTGCTGTTATTGTTGCTGCTAATAATTGTTAGATCAATAGATGTTGATGCTAAAGGTGTTAAAGAATCCTCTTCTGTTTCTGTGCTATGCAAATGATTTGAGTTAATTGAACCATGAATTGTCATAATAAATTCATTCGCTGCATATGAAGCGACGATTTACTAGCTGAAGAGAGGGAGTTAAAAGTAGCCAATTACAACACAAAAATTTCAACTCTAGAGCTGAAGTTTGCTAGTTACAAAATAAAAACTTCAGCTCTAGAGCTGAAGTTTCCAGTTACAACACAAAAAACTTCAGCTCTAGAGTTGAAGTTTCCAGTTACAACACAAAAACTTCAGCTCTAGAGCTGAACTTCAGGCCCGGCTACTAGGTTGCTGATGTTTTGCGTGATTGTCTTTGCTACTTCAGCCTCGTGTGCTGAAGTTATGCGAAAAAGCGGGTACGCTTGCAATTTTTTTGCAAAGCGGGCACAAATTAAAATATGACACAAAAAACGGGTATAGATGCAAATGACATCTACAAAACTATAGACCCAATCACATCTACAAGAAATTTACTATCAAGATTGTGCTTTGCACCTGAGGCGATATAGCTCATTTTATACGGTTTCAATTGAATTTAATATTTGCGACACATATCATAAATATATTATCTAAAAATCAATTGAAGTTCAACAAATATATAAGTTATGAACCTTTAATAAAAAATTTCATTTGACTAGTGCAAATTTTTTTGGGGGAGGGGGGTGGCGGGGTT